GTACAGGGCTCTGCAGGGCCGGTTGCTTGTTACCAGAGCCCCTCTGCAGAAGCACAGGTTTCACCTCACTTCACTGCCAAGTTCCTCCTCCATCCCCTTTCCGTCTCCATCTATTGCAAAGTGGGAAGATGGATCTCAGTTTTCTAGAAGACGGAGTTAGGTTTTTTGCATTTATTTTCCTTGCACTCTTGTCTTGGTTTGGTTTTGGGAGAGGGTAAAGGAGGTAGAAAGGTCTTGATTCTGCCCTACGAAAGCTTTGAATCAAGTTCAAGTGTAGATGAAAGTATTGTTCGTATTTGCAGAGGGAGCCTGGGTCTGGCAAATCTCCCGATGGATTGCTGCAGCATATTTGTGATATTGCCTTCCTCAACCTCACTCTTCTCTCCGACTCCCCTGCTTCCTCTCCTCCTTCTGCCCCCCACCCCCTGCACCCTTAAATAGCTGACTGATCTCTATTTCCAACCCGCTGGTTGATGGACGGCCTGCTTACTGCCCACCCCGTCTGCGTTTATGTTTCATAGGCGTCTCCAAGTGACACAGCCAGAGTGAAATTTCTGGCGGCCACTCCTGTCCCCCAAGTCCAGCCCTCCCCAGCCTTCCCTTGTCAGCGGGCACCGTCGTCACTACTACAAAGCTCCCTTGGGTGCATCCCCCAGACCGGGTTCCAACTGTGCCTACAGCCCTTGAGTGCTCTCCCCTGCTTGAGAGTAACTCAGTGCCCCTCCTTCTTGGGGGGGGGAGTGGACCCCCCCCTCTGCAGTGCACCCTCTGCTCGCCTCTCGGCCCCGTCTTTTGCTGCACCTCTCACTGTCCTGCTCCTGCCGGCCCCTCGTGTTCTGTTCATTCTGCCAATCTCTCAGGGTTTCTCTCTGCCTCGGGGCCTTTGCACTTGCCATTCACCCTCAGCCTGGAAGATTTTGCCCCAGATTTCTATCAAGGCCGGCCCCTTCCTTCTCATCCTGCACCCTCCACGTCCAGGGGCCACAGGCCTAGAGTTGGGTTTCCCCATTCCCTTGTGGGAGATGCAGCTTCCCCAGCTCAGCCGCGCTGTGCCTGGATGTAAATCTTGCTGCAGAGCACTTAGACCGTGCACGTTTGCCCCGTCCGTCTCTGCCACTAGGATCGTATCGAGAAACGTGGGCGGCCAGTTGATGCCGCGTGCCCAGCGCCTAGCCCTGCACTTGCGCGGAGTAGGCGTTCTAATAAATCGTGATGGAATCGGCGATGCATCCGAGGTTTAGGGCTGGAAGTGAGCGTCACAGGACGCGTCTGCGATCGTCTCTGGAGCCCTGGGCAGGATGGCTCCCGTAAGCCGCTGAGTCAGCCCCGCCGCGCTTGTGCTCCTGCTCTGCTCCCCGCAAACCAAGCAGACGGGAGGAAGCCTGTGCCCTGGCGCACCGTGCATTCTCAAGGTGACAGGTGCAGAGATGGGAGGAGGGTGTGGACATGGGGTGTTCCAGCAGGTTCTGGCAGCTTTTGATCTGTCTTAGTCACTGAGCTGGATCCCCCGAAGGTCTGCGGACGTTTGTGTTCTGTCTCGTCCCCTGCACCCGCTGCAGAGTGCTGGAAGCACGCCGTGTGCCTCTCGCCCCGTCTGCCCTCAGCGGTGCCCCGCGAATCCTGATGCATTGATAGTTCTTTTTTATATTTTATTTTATTAATTTATTTATTTTTCTGGAGCTGGGAGGCCATTGTCCTCTTCTGTTAGAACCTGTGCTCTGAGCCTGCCCCAGTCCCCACCGCTCCCTGCTGTCTCACATCCGGCCTGCTCTACTCCTTGACCCTCCTACCCCCACCCCCCCCCCCCGGCTGCCGTATGCGTTTGAACACTGCTACCCTGAGTCGGAAACATCACTAACAGTTTCATAGACATCATTGCTCCAACCCAAGATATCAGCTGGGACTTCCCTACTCCTCAAGAGCGCCTGAAATTGCCTTGAACCCCCACCTCCACAGCCCGAAATATCCAAAGACTCCCCCAGTAGTTGTGTGAATGCTCGTGAGTTTAAATCTTCATGGTGTCTTTGCCTCCTGCGCCTTTGGTTTTGACCCAGGACATTCTAAAAGGATCTAGATTCTTCCTTGGTCCCCCTCCTCCTTCCCCAGGCAGTTCAAAACTATGAGTGGATCTGGGGGAGGGTTACAGAGCGAAGATTTTAATAGCACCTCTCCTAGCAGATAAAGCTTAAAAATTAATCTTCCATGGGGATTTCCCTGCAGTCTTTCTTCCATGCAGAGCCCTGCCATTCTGTCTCCTCCCCTACTCCCAATGGTCCCCCTCCTTGAAATTGCTCTCTTTCAAAAAAGCAGAGGAATTCAGCCTTCTCCAAATGTGCTGTTGCAAGCCCATCAAGGTGCTCAAAGAGCAAAGGCCTCTTCTCTGTTAACATTGTGTTCCGGCAAGTGCACAGCAAGTGCACAGCAAGTGCACAGCAAGGGTTAACAGCGACTGACCTGGGAAAGAACCGAGCTGCACACAGAGGGTCGGAGAGTCAGCGTTTATTCCGCCGGCGGGCTCAGAGGGGCATGCTACCAAATTCTGAGCCCTGCCCTGATAGTTCAAGTCGTCCACCGACCACAGTTGAGCATGCTCCCCCCAACCTGGCTCCGAACCCCCTTTGCACGCCTGAGGATCGATCGCCTGTGGCCTGTTCTGTCCAGTTTCTGGCCCACCCAGCACTTTGACACTTAACCCAACCCCCATCTTAGCTAAACTCTCCTTTGCCAACACAACGTGGCATATGCTGAAGCTCTGGAATATTCCAAAGTAGTTTTTTGGAAGCTTAGTTTAGTTTATTCCTCAAAAGCCTAAAAGAACGATTGTCACCTAAGCTATTCTTTGTGGCATTTCTTTGGGGCGAGATCAAACCACAGTGCATGCGTGCATGTGTGTATACGTGCAGATACCTGCAGATATACACACGCTCGCCTTTTGCCTAAATAGGTGATCCTTTCCTGCTATATTTCCTGTTTTTGTGTATTTCTGTCCTCGGTGCTGTGTGATGACCCAGGTGGAACTTTAATTTTCCTGCTGTGCTATCCAAATAGCAAAGGGCAACATGGAGCCTCCAAATTGGAAAATTTAGCCTTACGTTTGAATGGCTTAATTTGATTTTTGCTTTGAATCAGTTGCTAAGCGACTGGGAAGACAGGGCAAAATCAGCAAGGCTAATTCAGTTCTGTTACTAGTGTGTTGGCATCTCTCTTATTTACACAGGCAGTTGGTTGTAAATACGCTTCATCCAACGTGATGCTCTGTTCTGCCCAAGAAGATTAGTTGGTACGGAAGTTACTGGAAGGCTGTGGTTGGACTGACAGTACTTGCATTCACACTCTTACCTTGGGTGAATGTAAAGGTGTCTGAAGTTTTGAGCCCGCTTGTTTTGTTAGGTGAAGTGCTTGACTTGGTTACGCCGTGAACGGTTGTAAGATGGTACTTTGCGTTGTGTGTCATGGCTTGGCATCATGGACCCAGACCGATTGTTGCCCAGGTCAACTTTAATCAAATTTTTTGAATGCATACTGTTGAGCTATCATATGAAGTATGTTGGAGGCAACAAAATAGGTCGTTTCGCTGTCTGTATCTTACATCTTATGATTAGCGAAAATTGCAACTGTTAGCCTCATTTGGTCCCTAAAGTAAGTCGTGTGTCAGATGTTAATGCTGGTGACTTAAATATTTTCGATGCTTTTTAAAAGTCCTGTGGTCTTAAGGAAGTCATTCTGGCCTAACCCAGATGCTACTGTCTGTCCTGTGTCAAAGATAGCAATTTAAGGCTGGCCGGGAGTGTCACGGTGGTGTGTGATCATTCGTGGGGTGAGTGGGGGGTCACGTATATGGAGCTGGTAGAAAAGCTGTGTGTCTTGCAATGATGTCACTGATACAGCAAGTGACCATCACCTGTGCCTTTCGCAAGAGATGCCCAGGACGGTCCTATCTTTTAAACTAGTCTCCTGCTGTACTCTTGGTTCTCTAAAGTCCTGGGCAGTGTCTTTCATATGCAGTACAAATGACTTTCAGTAGACGATTAGATTCTTGATAAAATGGCTATCAGTAGTCCTATGTTTGCTGTATTACTGCTAGTGACTAGGTAGAAATATTTAGCGATGGAGGAGATTATACAAGTGGGAAAAGAACTTGTTACTCTGCGATTCAATGAGATATATATATATATATATTTTTTTTTCCCAATGAGTGTCAGATATGTGTGCGATGTGTGGTAACAACAGTTCATTCATCCCGTCTTAGAAGAAAGAGTGATCTGAATTAAAGGAAAGTCCTGGTTTTTATGTACTCGACAACAAATGGATTGTTCTTACTTTGAGATAGTTATTTGGCTGGGGCAATAACTAGGTCTTTACCTACTGAAGGTCCTTTAAGGGAATGTGTTTTAATGAACAATAAAAATAAGTGCACAGTCAGTAATTTCCTTGAATGCTTGTTCCGACCTGCATTCAGGGTGCAGTTTTTCTGAATCTGAATATTCAATCCAACATTATTAATTTTACTCTACAAATATTTACTGTTTGAAAACGCAGTATGTCCTAGCACTCTGGGAGGCCGAGGCGGGAGGATCGCTCAAGGTCAGGAGTTCAGAACCAGCCTGAGCAAGAGCGAGACCCCGTCTCTACTATAAATAGAAAGAAATTAATTGGCCAACTAACATATATAGAAAAAATGAGCCGGGCATGGTGGCACATGCCTGTAGTCCCAGCTACTCGGGAGGCTGAGGCAGGAGGATCGCTTGAGCCCAGGAGTTGGAGGTTGCTGTGAACTAGGCTGACGCCATGGCACTCTAGCCTGGGCGACAGAGTGAGATTCTGTCTCAAAAAAAGAAAAAAAAGGAGATTTATAAAAGGGCTTTGTAGCATCATTTGTCCTTATGTATAATGTGGTTTATTATAAAGTCTTATGTAAGTGAAAGCGGGAAGCGTGTTTTTCCTGGGTGGACGCGCATACATCTTTGGTGACAGCCCCGGTCTGTTTGCTCCCCTTGCAGACTGCCTCTTCAAGCTATGCCCCATGAACCGCTACTCCGCCCAGAAGCAGTTCTGGAAAGCCGCCAAGCCGGGGGCCAACAGCACGACGGACGCGGTGCTGCTCAACAAACTGCACGTACGTACCGCGGGGGTCACAGATGGCCACTCGGGTGGTGTCTGAGCATGGCGATGGCGGGGACCGGTCACGTAAGCCTCCCGCTCTAGTCGCTAGCTTCCCGTGTTCTTCCCTAAAATGGGGAAAGGGCGCTGACCCTAAGGAAGGAGAGATCCGAGTCACCGTGACATGTCCGGAGAGTTTGCAGGGCTGGCTTTGACCAAAGAAGTGGTCGCAGGCCAGGTGGGGTGGCTCACGCCTGTCATCCTAGTACTTTGGGAGGCCGAGGTGGGAGGATCGCTCAAGGTCAGGAGTTCAGAACCAGCCTGGGCAAGATGGAGACCCCGTCTCTACTGAAAATACAAAGAAATGAGCCGGGCATGGTGACACGTGCCTATAGTCCCAGGTACTCGGGAGGCTGAGGCAGGAGGATCGCTTGAGCCCAGGAGTTGGAGGTTGCTGTGAGCTAGGCTGACGCCACGGCACTCACTCTAGCCCCAGCAACAGAGGGAGACTCTGTCTCAAAAGAAGGAAGTGGTTATGAGCACAGACTCTGGAAGCGAACCGCCTAGAGTGGAACCTGCCTCCACTCCTCCTTAACTGGGAATCTTGGGCAAGTTGCATGGCTGTTTTCCAACTCGGTTGGCTCATCTGAGAAATGGAAACAACAGTATCCACCTGAGTATGTCGATGTGAGGATTGTATGAAATGAGACATAAAAGGCACATGAACAGTGCCTGGCACATAATAAATGCTTTATAAATTTTGGCTACTGTCATCATATAATACTTATCCTATTATTTGGCATGTAAGAGATGTGCTCTTTCTACTGCTGATATGCTGTGTGACCATAGCAAGATTTTGAGCCTCTCTGAGCTTGTTTCCCTTTCTGTAAAATGATGACATCATTCTTCTACTGCCCTGCACGCTGAGGCTAATCTTGTTTGGACATTTTCTGAGATATTTAGGAGGACATGACATATATCCAATGTAGTAGCATCAAAATCACAATCCATTTCCTATTCCACCCCACCGCCTGCTTTATTTTTTTTTTCCTATTATTTATCATGATCTTTCTAATATACTGTATTTACTTTTTTTTTCCTAACATATTATAGAGGTACAAATGTTTAGGTCACCTGCATTGCCTCCCCTCCCTCCCTGCCCATTCTTCCCCAAAGTCAGAGCTTCAAGCGTGTCCATCCCCAGACAGTGCACATCGCGCTCATGATGTGTGTGTGCCGTCCCTCCTCCCCTCCCCGCCTCTCTTCCCCTGCCAGAATGTGAGCTCCGTGCGGGCAGAAGTTGGTGTGACCTTGGCTTGTTGATGGAGCCCTCCTGCCACCTGCTGAGTTGGGGACAGAGCAGGCAGACAGAGGTTTCACCCAGTAGCGAGTGATGTTTCTTGGGGCTCAGTGATGAGGGTTGAAGACCCAGACTGTCTGGGGGCACTGCGGAGCTCAGCTCACAGGGCCACCCTTCTCAGCACGCTCTGTCACGGGCTGGCACGTGGCAGAGTCCCCGCCGGCCGTGGTTGGGAAGGCAGGCCCGCGTGTGGGGACTCCTCCGTGCCTGCGTGCTGTTGCAGACAAGGAATGACGAAGCCCAGCTTCCTCACCTGCGCTCACGGTCTGGCGTGAGACAGGGGAGCGGTACTCCCACTGCACCTAAGATGAAACTGGACAGTGGCCGTCTAGGAGGTCGCACGTCCCGGGCCCTCCTGTCCCCGAACTGAGGCTTCTCTGATCGCCGCCGCAGCCAAACGAGATAGATTGATCAATTAATTAATTATTTCGGCATATTATGGGGGTACAGATTTTAAGGTTTCAATAAATGCCCTTTCGCCCCACAAGTCTGAGTCTCCGGCGTGACCGTCCCCCAGACGGTGCACGTCTCACTCACTATGTGTGCACACACCCGCCCCCGCCCCCGCCCCCCTGCCCGGTATTTATTTGTTTTTTTAGCATCCCAGACTCGTGGCAGCCTCTTGACCTGTGTGTTGCCCATTGTCACGTTCGGAACGTTCTTCTCCGGGCCCTTCCTAAGCCGGGACCTTTGCATCCTTCATGTCTCAGCTCAAGTGACATTTCAGTCGTACCCGCCCCCCCCCCCATCTGAGAGACGCTTGCTTGGTTTTCTCCCTCGCAGCGCTTTGTTTACGCCTCTCCGGCTGATCAGGGTCTGTGACCGCAGTTGGTAGCTTCCTTAGTTACCGCCTGCCACTCTCGAGACGGGCGGCTCTGCCAGGTCAGGGCCGTCGTCCCTCTTGTTCGCCGCGCGTCTCGAGCTCCCGTGACGGGCCCGGCACGTGGCGGGCACCGAAGAAACCTGTTGCGCAGCGATGAGCGCCTTGGTGCTAGGTGCTGGAGAGGGACCGCCACAGCCTTCACCGGGCGGCCTCAGACTGCGGCCCGCGGGCCACCGAGCACGTGGATCCGGCCCGCCGGGCGTTTTTGCCGCCGCTGCTGCCTGTCCTGCTCAGCAGCCGACGCGTCCCGGGCCCGCAGTGCGCACTCTCCAACGGTCTGAGGGACAGTGAGCTGGCCCCCTGTTTACAAAGTTTGAGGACCCCTGGTCTTAACCCTCTGGGAGCTTAAAGAGGTAGCGGTAAGGCATTGGTGACAAGTGCTGTATTACAGGCCACACCACCCGAGGCTACGGGGCACACTTAGTAAAAGGGCACCAGTATCTGACTTTGCTGGAAAGGGGTGTGATACAGTAGTCAGGGAAGGCTTCCTGGAGGAAGCAGAATGTGGGATAAGTAAGCCTCAGTCTAACGCACCTGTGGGATTTATTTATTTATTTCTTTTGAGACAGAGTCTGACTCTGTTGCCCAGGCTAGAGTGAGTGCCGTGGCATCAGCCTCCCTCACAGCAACCTCAATCTCCTGGGCTCAAGCGATCCTTCCGCCTCAGCCTCCCGAGTAGCTGGGACCACAGGCATGCGCCACCATGCCCGGCTAATTTTTTCTATATATATGTTAGTTGGGCAATTAATTTATTTCTATTTATAGTAGAGACGGGGTCTCGCTCTTGCTCAGGCTGGTTTTGAACTCCTGACCTTGAATGATCTGCCCACCTCTACCTCCCAGAGAGCTAGGATTACAGGCGTGAGCCACCGCGCCCGGACAACCTGTGGGATTTAGAAGGCAGAAGAAGAAGAAACAATGGAAATGAAGGCTTGGAGGCTAGAGATTGCTTTGGAGACTTCAGGAGTTGCATTATGATGATGATGATGATATCATACTCGTTATGACATACTCGATATCAGCAGACCCATTGCACCTTTTTCTGAGCAAATATTATGTAATTTTACAAACATGAAATAAAATTCATAAATAACAGATACCAAATTTGAAAAAATAAATTATAAAGGAGAAATAAAAGGAAAGTATTGTATAATTGTTTAATAAATTGCATACTTGCATTAAATTAGTGCTCAGGGAGAATTACTCTAGAAGATATCGGGAAGTAAATGCTTGCATCTATTTGTACAAACCCCGTGAACGAAGCAGCTGTAGCCTGTGTAGGTATGTAATATTGGTGATGCAAAAAGCATGTTCCTTGTGATGTGATTGTCCAAAAGGGTTTGGATCATAATCCCCAAACACATAATCCTGAATGATGAAATCCCTAAAGATCAAATTAAAAAAGTCTAAATCCCTAGCATCTAAAACCCCAAAAATCACAATCATAGGATAGATGTGTCATGGTAGACCAGCTCTTGTGGACTATCTCCAGGCAGTTGCCCATAATCTATTCCTGCAATGACGCTTTTTCATATGTTGAATTTTCTTTCTTTCTTTTTTCTTTTATAGTTTTTTCTCCCACTGTTTTACATTGTCAGCATTATTTTTGACAATTTGCTTTTTGCCTTGTATTTCATCTTCATGTTATTTCCAATACCGGAGCTATAAATCGTGTAGAGACTTTGAGAGAGTTCTGATTCATTTTAGGCGTTTTTTTGCACATTTGACTCCATGAAAATGCATTATCAAAATGTTGACTTTGTGTGTGTTGTGAATGTACATAAACATGCTGAAACTTCCCCGGTAAATGAAGAGGTGTCCTTTTTGTACATCTACATTTATGAAAGATAAAATTTCTCAATATCTTCAGCTCTTTGAGTAGCTGTGACAATGACCCATCTTGGTTTTTTATTAATCTCACCAAAAGACTTAGTATGTTCATCCTGGTATTTAAGATGACATCAGTTATAAAGCTAGGTGCACACAGTTACCATCCGTAGTGATATGCATTTATACATTTCCCTTTTGACCTGTTTCTTGATCAGCATGGTTTGTCTGCTCATAACCTGTGTGATTGTTAACATACCTGCATGTTTATGCTTGCAAAAACTTGTCGTTATTACCCATTTTACTGTGTAAAATGGCCTAGGAAGTGTTTCGTTGTGTTTTTATATTTCTCAAGTAAATCCCCTTTGAAAATGTAAATGAATATGTTTTAAAGAATTTTAAAAATTATTTTTTCCAGCATTACATTATTTATTTATTTTTTTGGACTTTTGATCTTTCAGGATTTTAGATTTTAGGGATATTTTGATCTTTCAGGGTTTCAACACTGGAGATTACGGTGTTCAGGATTGTGTCTTTTGGGATTATGATTGGCTTTCTTTCCAAAATGGTCAGCAGCTCTTGGTATTATTATGAAGAATGCAAAGTATACCTTTTTTCGTTAAATAGTTCTTGCATTTTTGGAAAATGTATTAACAATAGTAGAAATACAACCACATTTTGTGTTGATATGTAAAATGGGGTGGGAGGCTAGGTTCAGATAATTACAGATAGCTTCTAGCCTCTGTGAATGTCCAGGCAGACATGGAATTGTTTGGGGTGAATGATGGTTTATCCTTGTATGAGACTTCACCATGCGTTGACTGGCCCCCAGCACCCCTGGCTTCTGTCCACTGAATTGAATATCAGTAGTACTCTCTTCCTCTTCTAGATGTTTTGTCCACCCAGAATCCCCCAAAGTCTGTGCTGGGAGTGTGGGAATCTAGTT